ACTCCAAATCAGGTATTACTCTTTGGACCCTTAAAAATGGAAAAGAAGGTATAAAGGTCCCTTAGTACGCGGGGCGTACTCCAGGAGTATGCTTAACGTACTAAGGATGCATGAACGCGAAGGGTGGCCGTGTACTCGGGGCGTACATGTAGGTATGCGGGGCGTACGTGAAAGAGGGCCCAAACCCTAATTCTCGGACTTGACACCTATTTAAACACCCTTAAGCCTCTTGGACCAAACCCTAATCAGCCTCCATAGCCTCATTTCGCCCTTTTTCACCAGAGTTCCCTTGTGAGAGTGTTTTTAAGCTTAAGGAGTGTATTTGTGGCCATTTTAGAGTTCATTCAAGAAGAGGAAATTTCTAAGCAAGCTTGGAGTGGCATTGGGCTTCAAGAATCTATATTTAGTTCACCTTGAAGAGCTTCTGGAGGTATAAAGTCTTGATCTTGACATCTTGTTCATTAGATCTAGTTAGGGTTTTCTATATTGTCCCTTTTGTGTTCATGGAGCATCTCTAGAGAGTTGGAGCAACTCCAGAGCTTAGGAAGAGTAGATCTAAGGTCCTTTGACTCATTCATGCCATAAAAATGGTGTCTTGATGGGTGTTTTGACCTCATGCATGGATTAAGACTCTTGGAAAGGTCTTAATGGGTTTTTGGGAGCATATGGAACATGCAAAGGCATAAAGTTGCCAACTTTATGCCTTAGGGCGTCTTAATGGACTCAGATCTAAAACTTGGACGTAAGAACATCAAGTATTAAGCACTTAATGGAATAAGTTGCTTAACCTGCTTGTACGCTGGGCGTAGTTTAGCGTACACAGCGCGTACAACTCAGGGACCCAGTACGCTGAGCGTACAGGAGTGGTACGCAGGGCGTACACACTCAGATGGGCTTGGACTTGTTTTGGGCTTGTAACTTGTGAGAGTGTTTTTGAGCTTAAGTAGTGTATTTGTGGCCATTTTAGAGTTCATTCAAGAAGTGGGAATTGCTAAGCAAGCTTGGAGTGGCATTGGGCTTCAAGAATCTGCATCTAGTTCACCTTGAAGAGCTTCTTGAGGTATAAAGTCTTGATCTTGACATCTTATTCATTAGATCTAGTTAGGGTTTTCTATATTGTCCCTTTTTGTGTTCATGGATCATCTCTAGAGAGTTGGAGCAACTCCAGAGCTTAGGAAGAGTAGATCTAAGGTCCTTTGACTCAATCATGCCATAAAAATGGTGTCTTGATGGGTGTTTTGACCTCATGCATGGATTAAAACTCTTACAGAGGTCTTAAATGGGTTGCTGGGAGCATACTGAACATGCAAGGGCATAAAGTTGCCAACTTTATGCCTTAGGACATCTTAATGGACTCAGATCTAAAAGTTGGATGTAAGAACATCAAGTATTAAACACTTAATGGAAGAGGTCGCTTAACCTACTTGTACGTTGGGAGTAGTTTAGCGTACGCAGCGCGTACAGCTCAGCGACCCAGTACGCTGAGTGTACAGGAGTGGTACACAGGGCGTACGCACTCAGATGGGCTTGGACTTGTTTTGGGCTTGTAAGCCCTTACAGGAGTGGTACGCAAGGTGTACGCACTCAGATGGGCTTGGACTTGTTTTGGGCTTGTAAGCCCTTTGGGCCTTAATCAGTCATTGGGCCTGGTCATGTTTTGAATTAGTGGGCCAATTTATCTTTTTAGGCCATGGTTGCTATGGTTGGGTTTTAATGGGCCATGAGGCCCATTAGTGATTTTGGACATCGACTTTGGGCCCATTAGCTATGGGAGACTTTTGGGCAATTATGAAAGGACATGGGACTTAGGTTCTTTAACTTGAATATATTCAACCCGAACATTGGGTTAATGATATTATTGTTCAACACCGGTGGTTACAGACTGTTAGGAGAGCAGCTTTCGGATTCAGCAGACAGATGTGAGTTTTCTCACCATACCAATGGGTCTAAGGCACCAAGGTTGGCCCATTTTATGATATGTGGATTGTTGATTGATTATGCGTTATGTTAGTATGCCATTTGCATGGAAGACCCCGGGGAGTTCCCGTGGCGGTAGATTGAGACCATGTGGGGGTTCCCATGACATTTGGTATAAGACCTTGGAGGGTTTCCATGGCATCCTTATATGTTGTATGCATGACTTATGTGGTTTATGTAGCTTTTATAGCTAATATGGATTATGTGATTATGCGGATTGTGTGGGGTATGCTATGGGGAACTCACTAAGCATTAGCTTATAGTTTGTTGATTTGTTTCAGGTACTTCTGAGCCTAATGGCAAGGGCAAGGCTTGATGGAGCGACATGCACTTTCTGGCATTTGTTTTGATGGGACACTCTGATCTTTGAAATAAAATGTTGATGTTATGGATTTTGAAAACAATTGTCATTGATATTTCATATTTTATGGGAATGTTTTGATTAATTAAAAATGAAAAATTTATTTGGAAATTTGGGTTGTTACAAGCGTCTGAATGGAATGATCAAAACCAGCATCACTAGAATAGAGTCCTTTTAGCCTGTCCCAAATCTCTTTTGCTGTCTCACAGGCACTCACCAGATGAAAGGTGTTTGGAGGCAAAGCGGATCTAATTATCCTCATCGCCTTTACATTGTTGAACAACTTTTCTTTTTCGTCTTGTGGGGCATCTTTAACTTCGAGAAGAAGTTTGTTATAATCTCCTTGAGTTTTAATAACTCTTCTTATACCAGAATGAACAAACGTCTAAACAGACATGGCTTCCCATATCAAGTAACCATGATCTTCAAGTCCTTGAACGTAATCCTCGAAGTGTAGCGCCCACACCTCATATTGATGTGGAAAAAGAATCATGATCCTTGTTGTAGAACCAATACTGTTGGATAGGTTGAATGAAAGATAATGAGAATCTTCTGAATGCATGATTTCGATTCAATAAAAAAAACCTGTAATGAACTAGATGTGTAAACTGAAATCGAGTGTAGGGTAGAATTAAGATCTAGATCCAACGTCAACAGTCGTTAAAAACAATGAAGGCGACAGATAATACATCCAATAAAAGCGTAAACCCTAATAACTCTTTAAGAGAAGAGATGCGTATAGATTACACAGTCTCCTGCTCTGCTACCAATTGTTAAGACTAAAACTTAATAAGATCGATAGATTCAAACAGGTAAAGTAATCAAACACAAAGAATGAAAATCAAAGTTGTGCTGAATGATTAATAAGCACTGCCTTAGAAGAGCTCGATTAAGAACTGCTACTGTAAAGGCAGAGTAGGGTTACCACAAGATCAATGCCATACACGATGCATGCATGCACTATAAATACCCTAACCCTAGCACATTAAATAAACTGGGTGGACATGCCCAACCCGTTACTAATGGACTATAATAATACAATACAAAATTTGACACAACACAATATAGCCCCAACAATTTTGCAAGATTTAGTCCCCTATAATTTTATATTGTATACAAATGGTCCTTGCGAAGTTCTTTTTTTTTTTTTTTTTTTTTTTTTTTTTTTTTTTTTTTTTTACAAAATTAGTCCATATATTTAAGATTTTCGTATGTTAACAGGTTTGACCCCTATATAGAAATAAATTACAAAAATTGTCCCTATAGTTTACAGAAAAGATCCTTGTGTCATTTTTTTTACAGATTCCATCCATGTGTTTAAAAATTATAAAAATGGTCCTTACCTTACATAAAATTTAAAGATTACGCTCATTGTACGCCCCCATCCCCCGCAAAACGAGGTGTGTGTATATATTAACGCATAAACCCTTTGGGAATAATAAAGTTTCATTCTTTTGGGTTTTGACCACACTACTTTATAAAGGTTACACTTTTTGTCATTCTTTTAACTTTTCGTTTCTGAATAAATGTTTTTTTTTAAATGATACTTTTGGCCCAATACTTATTATACTTTTACATATGTAGTTTTTTTTTTTCAGTTTTGTTGTATTACGTATTGAATTTGTAGTGAATTTCTTGGTTGTTTGCTTTTTAATCAATGAATTTAAAGGCTCTCATTGCTTTGGTTTATTTTAAAAATAAAAGTTAAAAAAAAACACGACTTGGGGACGGAGCCCGGACATTTTTTACTATTTATTATAAAGCTTTAAAAGTCGTTTTTTCCACTTCAAAAATGGTTTTTCTCAATTAATGAAATCACAACTTTACATTCAGTTTTTTATTCCCACTAAATGGCCTCCAAGTTCTCCATATATTAATCATCTTTTATGAATATCCTCAACAAATGGATTGTGGAGGCATTAGTGGAAAATATTTCATTTGTAAATATATGGACCCAGCATGCATAATATAACCCGTCATCCCTTTTCTTTCTCTAAAATCTTCCATTTCTCTTCATTGACGAGGAAGAAGCAAAAGGCATGAAACTTTTGACACACAATAACTATTTTAATATTCAATTAGGTTTAATTCTAATTTTTAATTTGAAAAGGGTATTACAGTAAAGTTGTATGAAATTTAAATTTTAAATTAGGTTTTATTATTAAAAGTGATTTAATCTAATTAAATTATAAGTTTAGATATAAATGTGAGTTTTACCGTGTGTAGAGGATATATATATATATATATATATATATTATATATATATATATATATATATATATATATATAATTTTAAAATTTACAAGGATATAGAAATAATATTCAAAGTTTTTAAAAATATAAATGAAATTCTCTCTGTTTTGAAAATGTACTGATACTAATATATAGTTTTTAAAGTTACAAAATTAGTAATTTTAATTTATTTTTGTATACTAAACCGGTGTCATCATGAATACCGAGATTTTGTGACATGGATAGTGCGCCGAATGTTAAAGGGAACCGTCCTTTTTATTGTTTGTATCGTAATTGTCTTTTTACTCCTGGTGGCAACGGAAGTCAGTCGCAAAGCTAGCTATAAAATAAGATTTCGGAAGGAAGCAATACAGAGCATTTCCTTCACAAAAAAAATTTCAGCAATTCAAACCACACCCCCCAAAAACTCATGTTTTCCGCCACTGATAATCCAATCGACCAGGAAAAGGTTGTGGTCGTGGATATAGAACCAGAAGTCGACAGTGAACCACTCATTTTCGCCATAGCCTTTTTGTTGAAATGCATCGGCTACATCGTTAGTTTACTGGAACTTCTCGGTCGCCTCTGGATGGACTATTACCCTCCAATATTTGGGGAAATCATGCTCCCGTCACCACTTAAGTTTATCATCATCGGTTTAGCTACTTTCACTGAAATTAAGTCGCAAGGCTCTGAATTTCCTTTCAAAACGCACCCTCAATCCATGAATATCGCCATTACCAGCCTACTCTTTTATGGTTTGGCGTCTGCAGCCCAACATATAATTTCTGCCACACGTTTCGGTCCTGCTTCCGTCTATGCCATTGCTGCTCACTCGGGAAGGATTGGTTCTTTGTGCATTTTGGTAGCATCTGTCGCATCTTTGTTTTATCTTTGATATACCTTTCATTTCTCTTACTTGTTTATTCTGAAATATAAGATAGATTTAGGTAGGGTGCTGTTACTCATGTAACATTCCATCCCATATGATATAGGTTTTGATATGAACCATGAGCTCCTTAATAAGCACAAGTGTTAGTTGTTTGGAGGTTATTTGGTCTTGGGGATTTTATGGCGCTTTTATATCATAATTTTAAGATTGCCTTTACTGAAATATTGGTGCTTGCTGTTTTATTAACTTATGTGATGCAACATACCAAGAATTTTATAAGCTATATCGTGGTATAGAAAACAATTAAGATAGTTGTGCTTGGTTCATTTGTTCTGCTCCATAATGACAAACCATAATCTTATCTTGAACACGTATAGAATTGTTGCTTTGTCGTTGTGTCTTATTGTTATGCTCCTTTGCACAAATGTTACAAAGCTTGATTGTTATTTCTAAATTGTAAATATTTTTTATTTCTTATATAACCCATCTTTTCTTTTATTCTGATGTAGTCTAAAAGCATTGAGCAGCATGGGTATGAAAATTGACATCACCACATCATCTAAGGCCAGGGCCACATGGTTTTGTGCCTAATCAATCTTCTGCAGAGTCTGTGAAGTCATTCTACTGAGATCTATATGAATGACAGTTTCTCCAAATTCTGGTGAGTATACTCCTATGATAACCATGAATTTTACTTTATCTTGTAATAACTTCACTTCTCTATTTAATTAGTATGTTGCCTTATGGTGAATACATATATAGCCACATAATTTGTCCCCCTTCTACTGAGATGTATATGAATATTGGGTCAAATGGAGTTTCTTTGACACTCCATTGATGGTTTGTGATTTGGAGGTTGTGTTTGGATTAGGAAATTTTGGTTTTCCTGGAATGGAGTATGCAAAACAACTTGTTTTTCCACTCGAAACATAGCCCAGGATCATTAAGACTAGTATCATCAGTTTTCCTTCTTTAATGGAAAGCAAGTCACTCTCTCGTTTTTTACTCTTCTCCTAGTTTCCCATGTTAAGTTCATAAAAATCCTTAACATTATCGAAAAATATTGCATCTATCCACAAATATTGATGAAGATTGAATGTTTCTGTTTCTGATTTCATATTACTCTCTAAAATTCAATTACAAAATGATAGAATGCCTCTTAATTATTACATCAGACCCCTTTATTTATACCCAAGCTAAGCTTCTAGAACCTATATTTGACTTTGACTTCTAACTGATTACATAAGTTAAACATATATTGCTTTATTCTATTTGTAAACGGATTAATTATTTTTGTTACAATTTTTTCTCTTATCATATATTAGGATTTAACCAATTCTGAAAATACATTACTGTTTGATCATAAAATGACCATTTTGACCATTTATTGGAGGTACATTGCCATTTGCAAATGACCATCTTCAAATAGGATGCATGTTCAATAATGACCTGTTTTGGCATTTTAAATGACCTGCCATTTTAAAATAACAGTTTTTGAAAGTATATTACCATTTTGACCATTTTTGTAAGTACATTACCAATTTGGCCATGAATGACCGTATCGACCATAGGTCTCAAAATTACTATTTTGGTTATTTTTTTAAAATTATTCCATGTAAAAAGCTTACAACATTTTGTATTTTGTGATACAGATACTTTGAATCAAAGAACCGTATAGAAAGTGTAGTTTTCGACTATGCACTTTTAGTGAGTAAAACAACTAACTCACATTTGACTTGACGAATCCCTCTTTATACTTCAAGTCTTGTACTCGCTTGAAGTTGTCAAGGACTAATCTAATAATCATATATACCAATAAAATATTAAGTAGATTCCAAGTTTATAAGCAAAACTTTAATACATGTTAACTATTATATTTTTTAGACAAAATTTCACAATTGGTCCCTGTGGTTTAAAGAATATCGCACTTTGAGGACTTCCTAGCAAAAAGTCACGCGACTGGTCTTGTGGTTTGTAAAATTATATGAAAGGTCCTCCTGCCGTTAAATCTAACTTTTTCAGCTGTTAGATTTTAACGGAAAAGACTATTTTGCCCTTGTACCAGTATTGCAATACACTACAAACCTCAAGGACCATTCGTGTAATTTTATAAATTTGAAATTTTATGTTTATATAAATTATAAATATAAATTCCGTATATATATAAATTATAAATATAAATTTTATATATATGTATATATATATTTTCAACAACTTGATAATTTTTTTATCTTTTTGACATTTTATTTTCTATTTTTATTTTATAATTTTAGTTATTTGTGGTTTTTTATGTTTTTATTTTATTTTGATTCAAGTATATAAACTTAAGTTCGATAAACCATATCGAAACTTTTTTTTTCTTAATTATGAAATAAAACGTTAATGTTTTTTTTTTTTAATTTTTTGTTGTTACGGTTTATTTTATTTATTTATTTATTTATTTTACTTTGATGTTCTATAGTTAATATCGTTAGCAACTTTATGTTTGCATTTATCATTATCATTATTTTACCTTTTGTTGTTTTTTTATATATATTTAGTTATTTATTATTCTTCTATTGTTTTTATTTATTTTCATTCAAGTAAGGAAAAATAGAAAAACAAAAAAACCAAAAACTCAAACCCCAAAAGTTGTAAAAATACTCTAATATATTAATACATTTTACACTTTTCATATTTTTTTGGTTTTTTCGCATTTTTTTAATTAATTTTGGTTATTAATGGTTTTCGTAACTTTTTTTTTATTTTGATTTGTGTAAATAAAAAAGTTATGTTTATTTTCTTTATTTATATTTGTAAATATAACTATTTTATTTACGCGAATCAAAATAAAAAAGTTACAAAAACCATAAATAACCAAAATTATAAAAAACCAAAAAAACTCAAACACCAAAATTGTAATATACTCTAATATATTCATACATTTTACATTTTTTGGAAAAGGTCAAAAAAAATTATCAAGTTGATGAAAAATAAAACGAAACAACGAAAAAATTAAAAATAGGAAATAATTAAAAAAATAAAAATAGGAAATAATTAAAAAATAATATGAAAAAACTTTAAAAAAATAATACGAAAAAATTAAAAAAATACGAAAAAACTAAAAAAAGATGAAAATGTAAAATGTATTAATATATTAGAGTATATTAGAATTTGGTGTTTGAGTTTTTGTTTTTTGTTTTTCTTTCATTACTTGAATCAAAATAAATAAAACAATAGAAGAATAATAAATAATTAAAATTATAACAAAAATAGAAAACAAAAGGTCAAATAATGATAATGATAAATGCAAATTTAAAGTTGCTAACGATATTAACTATGGAACATCCAAAAAAAACATGAACAGTAACGACATAAAATTAAAAAAAATAAAAAAAATAAAAAAACATTAACGCTTCAATTCACAAATAATAAAAATTAAAGAAAAAATAATTTCGATATGGTTTATCGAATTTAAGTTTATTTACTTGATTCAAAATAAATAAAAATATAACAAAAAACCATAAATAACTAAAACTATAAAATAAAAATAGAAAACAAAATGTCAAAAAGATAAATTTTTTTTATCAAATTGTTGAAATGATATATATATATATATATATATATATATATATATATATATAATTTATTTTTATAATTTATATAAATAAAAAATGCGAAATTTATAATTTATATATATACATAAAATTTCAAATTTATAAAATTACACGAATGGTCCTTGAGGTTTGTAATGTATTGTAATATTGGTACAAGGGCAAAATAGTATTTTCCATTAAAATCTAACTGTTGAAAAGTTAGATTTAACGGCAGGAGGATCTTTCATGTAATTTTACAAACTAAAGGGACCAGCCGCGTGACTTTTTGCTAGGAAGTCCTCAAAGTGCGATATTCTGTAAACCACAGGGACCAATTGTGAAATTTTGTCTATTTTTTAAAGATTTTCCAGCCCAAACCTTGTTTAGTGTTTTGAGCATAAACTAGAATCTATAACTCTAAATGTAACACCCTATTTTTTTTTTTTCAAAATTTTAAAATGATATGGTTATGAAAAATCATTTCGGGTGTTAACCCACATTTAACAAAAATAGGTCCCACAAAACATTTATAATTAAAACCTTGGAATGTTACCATTAAACATCATACAACCATCGCAAACAAATATGAATTACGTCAATAATATGAATAAGGAACTTGACAAGCTCTACTCCATTCTCTACCTCTTAACTTTTAACTTTCATCTATCATCTTTTTCTCCTTAAGTATAACATGGGATACATGACATTAAAAAGACAATAATGTCTTGTGAAATACATGAGTTTGTGACCCAAAACATTTATCACATTTTCATAAAAAAACATTTTATTATGCAAAGCATATTTCAAATAGACATTTTCCACATTTCATTCCATATTAAAATATTTCATTAGCTTTAACATAATTCCAAAGACATTTCTTTTCATACTTAATTCCATTCTTTCATTAAGGGCTAATTCCGATATTGAACTGTTGTCATTTTTATACTTAGGGTCTAGCAATACCTCCAAGTCTATACCAAGGTGGAAAGAACAAAATTAATCCACCAACGTATCATTTTCGTTAGGAAATCTATCTCGCGAATGGGAGGCGCCACCACGATAGTTTCCTCTATATCCCGTTACAAGGACATCATGGCTCGAGCAATATATTCTTGTCATTATTTTAAAATTCTTGTCAATACTTTTCATTTCTTATCATTACTTTCCATGCTTTACACAATGCATACATCGGTATCAAAATACTTATTTCAAAAGTAAAATATCTATATTTAAAATCATTTCAAACACGTTATCAAAACATTTATTCTTCCAAAATATTCTTTACTTTTAAAACGTTTCTTGTTTTCAAGACATTCTTTCAAAAACATTCATTTCAAAAGTATTTATGTAGCACTTAATTTTCAGGTATTTTATATTTTGACCCTTGGTATGAGAATTGTTTTGCAAATTGATCACAAATGACATTTAAATGAAAAGTGGGGGCTGTGTGAGTACACTGGGCGTACGTGGTCAGGGGCCAAACCTTAATTTTTAGGGTTTGGACCTTATTTAAGCAACCTTACGCCCCAAGGTTCTCTCATTACCAGCCTCCATTGACCCTTTAAGCACTATCTCGAAACCTTAACCCATTTCTAAAGAGAGTTGATCCTTGTATGTGTTTAGTGTATCTTGAAGAAGTATAAGCTTGGTGAAGGAGAATTGATCAAGTAGGGGATTGTAGATCTAGGGTCCATTTATCATTTTCAGCTTCATAGAGGTATAAAGTCTTGACCTTGGCTATTATATGCTTAGATCTAGGACTAGTTGAGTTTTGAGCACATTTTGGTCCCATGAGTGAGTTCTTGTGAGTAAATGTTACTCCAAAAGATTTGAGTTGCTTTTGATGTTTTTGAGGTTCCTAGTTCATAAAGTTTGCACCTTGGTGGTTGTAGATCAGCCATGCATGAGTTAATGATCATTTGATGGAAGTAGAATGCCAAATCTTGGGTTCGAGTCTCTTTAGGCCATGT